CGTTAGACGCCGTTGCCCGCCGGGAGGAAGCGCCGCGCCCTCCTCAGGGGATGGTGCAGTCCAGCTACTGCAGTTTAATGATTTTCCCGATATTCCTTGCAGTGGAGACGTTTCCTGTTAAGACAAAAAGACTGTCTCGAAGTGCTCGCAATAGCACAGAGGACTGTTCCTGCTTTATACAGCTATAAGGAAAGCAAATGCTTGATCAAGGCTACACAAAAGTGTGGCAGCACATTAATTTCACCGAGAAAATAGAAATACACATTCAGGAAGCTTAAGGGCAGTTCACAGCTGCTTGACATGCAAAGAATTACATATGTCTGTTTTACATTTTATCTAATCGCAGTAAACCAACCACACCTGTCATTCCAAGCTTTCCTGCAGTGTCTGGCATGACTTATGCCAGAGCAGAAGTAGATCTTTCATCTCCTTCCATCTTCCATTACATCACGTTTGTCACAACGTTATCTTTCCCAACTACCAGTGTCTCATTTCCAAGTAATTTTTAAGAGTTATAGTTGTCTCATGAGCATTGTAACCCTCAGCTATTCCCCTTTTCTGACAAAAGTAATTCTCTTCTCAGTTGTCTTTGAATATTCAGAGCGATGTTGTATTCTAGTAGGCCAGATGACCCATTTACCCTCCAGTCAGTGGTAAAAAATCTACTTTTTATTTAAGTACTGTCCTGCAATCTTGGGAAGTGCTATGTTGTAATGATTCATGGAGCTGATCCAAGTACTACCAATAAATATTTATAACTGAAAGCAATGTTTGGAACGTTGTTTTCAACATTTATTAGTCACTTGTTTATGTTGGGTTCAGAGACCATAAATAAGGCTGCATATTTAGCCTCATTGCCTCAGAAAAAGTTTATACCATTTTGTTGTTTGCATGTAATTCCATCTTCCAGTACTTTTTAAAGCTATCAGCCTATTTCCCCAAATTTAACAGAAGGCAGACATCTCAGTTATACTGAAGTCTTGCACGGTTTATGAATATTAATGTGATATGTGAATACTGATATATCTTGAAAAGAAAGATACCTGTATTAGTGACTTTATTGAGGGAAAGACTGATGCAACTTATTAAAAAAAGCAGTAGCCAGCTCCTCACACCTGTAGCTCTGAATCAACCTCAGTTGATTTGGCTCCTTGTCTGGCCTTACCAGAGTACGTGGAGAGGGCAGGGGAGCTCTTCTGGGCCTGGGAGAAGAGCGTTAGAAAACTTGTCATTACTTTGACTGCGGTATTCTGTCGTAGAGCAGCTTACTGCTTTATGAAAATTCGGAAAACAGATTTTTAACACAGCTTTCCATATTACAATTGCGGCTCACAGTATTTGCTGGCTGCAGTAAAGCGTGGTAGTTTCTGTCACACCTCCTGTTTCTTTTGTGTAGTGGCAGGGCTTTGCAGGCCTTCCACATCACATTCACTTGGGAGGATTCTTCTGTATTTTAGAAGGCAGCACCTAATATCAAAGCACATATTTTTGTGTTTCAGTGCAAATGGTGCCATCTCCCACTGATTTTAAAATCTCCTCTATTTTACCTTTTAAAGCTGAGACATCCTTCTTGTGATCCTGAAACATTTTATTCCTCATGTCATATATAAAACTTGTGCCTGTTTTGAACTATTGTTTTCATCCTTTTTGTTTCTTGAGCCCAACGTTTCCACTGTTGGAGAAAGTGGCAAAATGAACATGATGTTTAGTAGGTTTAGCCTTGATGAAAGTAGGAGTGGGAATCTCCAATAAAATAACAAATAACAATATTTGATAATGATTTCTCATTTTTCTTCAAAAATTTGATACAATATTAATTCAATTATATATAAATATACTTATTTCTATGACTTATTCTAAAAATATTTTTTAGCTTACCTAAAATGTGGATTATGAAAAATATATGAATAAAAAATTCAAGGGATAAAATATGAGTAATGAGTGTGTGGAAAGACCGATCAGAATAAGTCTGCATGCCTGTAATCCATGTCTAAAGTGCCTGGATAGGAGTAGCTGCCCGATTTAATGTTTAACATAATGAGTAATATTTACTAGACTAACCATGGAGAACTTTAGCCTGTACTCTAAATTACCATAGATAAGTTTGCCTTATTGGCCATTAACAAGATTTTTTTCCTGATCCATTTCTTCTTGGGAAAATGTGTACTATCTTTTATTTTGAGAAGTAGAGGGAAATGTAGAGACTCACCTGATCACAAGAATCTTTAAGATATATACAAGACAGTAATGCAGATTCATGAAGACCAATCCTATCTCCACAAAACATGATCATTAACTGGTTGTAAATAATACATGATTCATTTGCAACATTCTTCTTCAGTAGCTCTCACTGAACTTTTTTAGACAGTATAAAGCTATCACGAGTTCCATCTCACAGATGATGCAACTGAAGCACAGGCAGGCTAGACAGCCAATGATCTATAAAAGCCTAAAGAGACAGGTTGGAATGTAAAATAATTTTCAGAAAAATAAGCAGTTTAGGAGTCTATCTTCAATGGGATTTAGAAGCTTGAAAACTTCCGAAAGTCCTATTAGATTCTAATCTTTAGACACCCAAATAACTTTAAAAACTTATCTTAAAATGACTTACCTACTACTTCCTCAGAGACCAAAGGTCTCTAAAGGACAAAGTTTTCCAAGGCTGCTTGTAAACTCATTCCTGAATACATACTAGATTTATGCTAATCCTTCTCTGTAGGTTTAACTTTTGTCTATCTGAACAATCTCACTACAGTAAATGTGGTATTGCCGGAGCAACCAGCTCCCTCTCCTGGACAGCAGATAATCTGCATGGGAATTCCGTCTGTAGTGGTTTGTTTGAGGAAGAGTCTGGCTTCCTAGACTCACTGGGTCAATGGCAGCAATATGTATTACATCTCCCATATCTTTTCATGCTCCATGGTTATAAGGATCTCCATTGTCGCTGTCTATATACTTTTGGGGCACTTCTC